TGTAAAGTTCTAAGGACTTATAGGACGTGTTGGAGGCTTAAGGTTGAAGGAATTGAGTGCTAAAATGACAAACATCCCAAGCGCGAGGTGTTCAAGCATGAGGTGGTCACTTGTAGCAAAATCTGATTTTATATCTATCTTTGCAGGCACAAACCAAGTATCCTCGGCTTATTTTGACATGTTTGCAATCCATTTCGCTTGTTCTAAGATCCCAAAGTATTTCATAGAACTAATTCCTCAACCGTTCATTTAATTTCTTACCCGATTCTCAATCGATTTCAACAATTCGCACCTCAATATTTATAATGTCATATAAGACATATATTATTACGTTGTGATAAAGTCACTTCATCCCTCATGTCCCAAATATGTGAATTACCTATCTAGGGTTTAAGGTGACCTCGATTAGCCGAATGGAAAGCTTGAACCTTCGTTGATACAAATTTTCGGTCTTTCAAATATTACATTACTTACCAAGCCAATCTCCAACATTTAGTTAATCTAACTTTCTATCATAGCTCAATATAAAATTCACCACCTAGATCGAAGAGTCGAAGGTTATCACCATGTAAAGATTTTAAAGCCTTGATGATCAAATGCATCGTTTTAAGAGAAGGCAATAAGGAAATTGATACAAATGACAATGTAATTAGCATGAAATGCATGAATCATATTGGCCAAATGTAGAATGTGAAGTTCGGGGTATTACAAAACTGTTTTTGTGAAAATCAATATTCTAAAATTTTGCTCGAGCATTTGACCTAAAAAATGTACAGGGTTAAGGAATAAGTGGCCGAACTATGGTTAAATCGGTCGCTGAAGTTTGTTAAAATTTTCAAAATGCCCCACATTCAAAAATTCGTCAACAAAAATTAGAAATTTCACCAATTAAAATCGAAGAAATATGGAAAAACGTGTTTGACGATTATGCCTTTAGCTGCAATGAACTCGACTTCGTTCGCATGTGTCCAAGTTGAAATTTAACATTAACATGTAGAATTTTACGTCAATGTTAAAATTCTACATGACTTTAATTCTAAAGAACTTGAAAACTTAATTACTTCATTATTAAGATTTTTCAGTTAAATCACTGATTACGCCCAAAGAATAACGTGATAGTTGTAGTACAGCTTTGGACTGTCAATTCTATAGGGAGAGGAAAAAATTACTCAAAGAATCCAAAAAGTTTAATTGTCCTATTGAAATGTGTAGGAGAATTCAATGTTAAAGTAATGAAATTAAGGTTAATGTCTTGAGATGGCGAAGCGTCGGAATTCCCTCAATTAGATTGTATCACTCACATCAATTATTAATTTTTATAACTCAATTAGAGAATTTTCATCCTAATTCTCTAATCAGAAGATTTAACAATAAAGATCAATTTAATTCACAATTGTAATCCTAGAATCTAAACTAACAATAAAGATCAATTTAATTCACAATTGTAATCCTAGAATCTAAACTTATAACACATTCGCACATTTTTATTGGAACAAGATCAAAAATCAACTATATAGATTAAGCATAAGGCAGTAATCAATCTACCAATAAAATTTTATTAAGATTAAAATTTAACAATTATTTCAATCATTCAATGGAAAGAGCAAGACTAGATTTATAAAGGATTTGATAAAAGTTAGACCAATCTTAACAATAAGTAATTGAAATTGAAAGTTAACAAATAATTTAATTTAGCAATGAAAAAGCATGACCTAATCCATGAAAAATCTTGTAAATGTTAAACCGATTTCAATGTAAATTCACAAGAATGAAAATCCAAAGATTAGAATTGTTTAACAATGACAAACTAGAATACATGAAATAATAGATGTGAAATCACCAAATCCAAAGATTTCCTTCCTATCTTCACCTTGATTTTAGTTCTTCATGGAATTTCTTGAGCACCAAGATGAGAAAAAAGTGTATGAGGGCGTTCTTCTTTGTTCTGGGGTGATTTAGGGCTTAAAAGACGTGGGAGATTAAATTACCATAAGTGGTTGGATGGAATTAGGAAACCAGAAAATTCGTGTTATGCGGTCGCAAGGTACAATCCCATGTGGTCGCATAGTTCACCAAAAAATGCCGTGTGATTCTCTAAAAATAACCATGCGGTCGCATGCATTTTAAACCGTGCGACCGCATAATTATAATGTTTTCCCGCTTGACAGCTTTCAGTATTTTGATCATATCTTTATCTATCGATCTCCAATTGAGGTGACTCAATATGTGTTGGAAAGCTAACTCAAATAGCTACAACTTTTCTTCAGATATCATATTCCAATTCTATCGTTTGATATGTCAAGAGCGGGTCCCAATATGAGGCTGAAAATTGGTGTGTAAATTTTTCATTGGAAATTGATGTGTAATCATACTTTGATGATATTTCATCCCTTTGACTTCTTTCTTCATTCGCTTGACCTCAAACACTCTCAAATCTTCATCATGAGGTTAGACACAA